TTTGATGGTGGGGAGTACTTTGCAAAGATAATTGTTTTCACTTACTGCTTTTTAAAAGTTTAGTGCCGGGTGTTTGAGGACACCCTCCAGCTCTCTGAGCAAGCTCTGTGTGCTACTATCACGCTGGCCTCCTCCAGAGGGCTAGCAGGAAAGGCAGCTCGCTGGCCCGCAGCCTACCCAGGCAATGCAGACAGCCGCTGACAGGTCCCTTCCCTGCCTCCAGACCCCAGGGCTCCTGCCAAATTTCTTCCAAGCTGTGCATTGCTGCCAGCTCCTCTGCCACCACGGTCCTTCTGGGTTTGGGGAGGACTGATTCTCCCTCACCTGGGGCCCGTCCTCTCACTCAGCCCCTCAAAACGGGAAAAGTAAGAGGAAATCCAGGCATGAGGGACAGGGAAATGGCAGTTGGGGGAAGAGTGATTTGCAGGGGAGGAGAACAGAGCAGAGCCCAGCACCAGCCAGGGGCAGCGGGGCCCGGGGGCCTGAGGAATCCAGAGTAGCTGAAACCTTCAATCCCTTTTCTATTTCTGGAGTGTCTCACATGAGCAAAGCCGGGCTGCGCAGAGGGGCTGGCGAGACGCAGGCTCATCCTCCACGGGCAGCAGGGGGTCCCCCAGCTTCTGCAGAACACACGGGGTCTGGTGGGGGAAGATTTCATGTTGTGGTAGAGAGTTAAGGAGCTGAGTTCGGTGAAAATGATGGTTTTACTCTCCTCTGGGCTTGTCTTGCTTCTGGTACGGGAGGAACCAGCAGCGTCTCATTCATCCAGTCCCTGGGAGGAGGCTGGGGGCAGCGGTGTAACCAGAGCCCTTTGCACCTCATAAATCTTAGGCTGATGAATGGAGCAGATCTTTGGCCCCCGTGCGGCAGAGGCAGCAGGGAGGGAGGTGGATCTGCTGCTAAAGCAATGACGTATTGCTTCAAAAATATTAATAAAGGCAAAATGAAAAGTCTGGCCCCTTCCCCAGGGTAGGGGGAATGGGGCTGGGTCTCTGCCTCTGGAACTGCTGGTTTCTGGGTTAACGTCCCCCCCACTGCTCCCAGCCGAGTGTCCCCGGGTGCGGGCAGGGAGGGAGGTGTCCGATATGTGAGAAGCAGGATAAAGGCACTGGTCTGATCCTGTGACCGACGGGCAGCAGCCTTAGCCTCCACCGGTGGGAGGGAAGGTGCAATCTGAGCCCCGGTGTCCTTTCAGCATGACCTGCCCAGGCATCCCAGGGATGACCATGCCACCCTCCACCGTCCTTGTGGGACATCAAGGGTCATAGGAGCAAGCCCCTCTCTTGGCCTTCATCTTTGCACAAGGGGAAGGGCCAGAGGTGGCCCCGGCAGCAAGTAGGGGCTCCTTTCTGGGCCAGGAGCTGGGAACTGGGCTGGCTCCGTGGCACTGCCTTCCTGGAGGAAGCCAAAGTGAGCCCTGGGAGCATTAATGCAACCAGGAATAGCCGCCCTTAGCAACTCCAGCAAAATGTTTTCTCACACCTGGCCACAGCTTAGCCCTCAGCCCCAGCTTCAAAAGCTCTGGGTTTCCCCTCCTGCCTGGCCAAGCCAAGGGCACACTATGCCTGGTTTAGGACTGGCAGCAAAGGGCTCCATGGTGGCCTCCCGCTCCTGTCCTCTTCTGCCAGAGAGACTGGCACTGCATGGATGGAAAAAGTTGCTTTTATTTTATTTCCTCTGAGCAGCCACCCACACTGTGCCCGCGAGGATAGACAGGATCAGCTGCCGAGGGAGGATAACGGGCCCTTGCTGATCATCTCAGAATCACATTAGCACCAGGAACACCCCATGACCTTCTCCTTGAGAGGGGAAAGCTTTTACAGGCTTCTCAGCTTGTGGCTTCAGGTGTTCCTTTTCAGAGGAGCAGCAAGCGGCCACTGGTGCACCTACAGCATCCCCTGTCTCTATAGAAACAGCACACTCAGAGCACAGTTCACAAGGTGGGTATTAAAGAAAATTCAGCAATTATAAAGCACAGATTGTCCTTAATACTTTTGCCCATCACCCACGGCACAGGGGACCCGTGGCATTGCAGTCACGTTCCCCATGATAGCTGGGAAAGCGTCCCTGATTTGGGGCACAGGCAATGCCATCAGTGGCCTCTCATCAGGATCTGCATTCAAATCCCAGTAGGGCAGAAATAGGCAGGGCTGGTTAATTGCTAAACTGGGAGCATTTTAGTAAATTAGAATCATGGCAAGCTTTGATCCACTCTGCATCCCAGCACGCAACCCCCAGTAGATGCCTTGGTTTGAAGAGCACTGGGGAGCAACCTCTGAGAGAACAGAGAGGAGGCAGGTCCTGGGGCAATGCTGCCCAAAGAGCCCTCCAGGGGCTTTGGGAAACATGGAGTGCAAAATAAATAAATAATTGCTGAGTGCTTACATTACTATTGCTGCAGGACTATTCTCCAGGCTTTATTAGCCGCTCCTTAATTGGGGTCTGCTTGAACTAACTGGTTCAAAGAAGCAGCCAGGGGCCAGAGCAGATTGAAAAGGGGCTGTGTTGAAGTCATTCTCTAACAGGTGGTCTACCCAATCTTGCGTCTGAAAAATTTAAGCAGTTGCTCAGCATCCTCTTCAGTGACCCGAGTTTTACTAATATGAAGGTACTACTATTTTAATTTTAATAACGTGCTCTTTGCAGGATGGTACCAGAGAGCAGGAGCCAAGCTCTAATAGGCTGCTCTGGTTGCAGGGAGGTGCTGGGTGTCCTCGTGGCCTTTTTGTCCCTTCTTTAGGGAATTGCTGGTGTTTTGTGGGTCACTCTCTAATGTGGTCCTGGGGTGGGCTGGCTCCGGGGTCACTGGCCAGCATCTCAGCAGAGAGGCTCTCCCAAAGAGCCATCAGCATGGCCGTGCTCTCCTCCAGCACGGGCTGGCATGGGTGCTAAATTTCCCTATTGAAAGCACATTTTCCACCTCCTAAATCTAGAGATGAGGTAAGAAGACAACCTGACTGGGGCTTAATCTGAAGATCTTGGTAAGTTATTTAAATTTCTGTGTTTTGCAGGAATATATAGCCCTTGCTGAGGACCCATTTGTGTACTCTGTAGAGGTGATTGTTCCATTACTATCACCAGTGCTGCACTGGGACCAGCCAGATTCAGGTAAGCATGCTGGATGTGGTGTCTCCTACACTGGAGGTCTCTGATGAATGCCCTGAGCTTCAGCCAACCCATGGTTCTCCCAGCCCATAAACCTCCCTCATCCTTCTCCCATCAGCCCTTCCCCAAGCCACTACCTCCTCTGTCCCCCTCCCTGTCCTGCTCACAAATTCATCCCGCTCCCCAGGGCTCTGCAGCAAAGCCAGGTCTCCCCTCTCCTGCCAGGGGACTTGTTTGCTCTGTAATTGAAGAAAGCAGATGGCATTTTACCAGGTCAACAAGCACTGGGAGGGCTTTAATTAAGAAACTAACAGGTTAGATCAAATTGAGGAGTGTCTTCAATGTGGTAAGTTATTTAGGAGTAATAGATTCTCTATTTGTTGGTGTATTTACAAACTTGCAGCCTATGCTAACGCTGTTGAGAGTAAAGAAATGCTGAGGGTAAAATGCAGCTTCAGAGTTTACAAGCAGGGTGGGGTGTTGCAGGGTACAAGATAATCCAGGCTCAAGCTTGAAGGGGGCTCTTTGATTGCTTATAAAGAATTAAGGGTTTTTTTAGACCCTGAATATCCAGAGGATGTTACAGTGATGACTTACTCTTTTATTTTCTTTCTGCTGGTGATTTATTTCCCAATGGCATGCAGCTGCCTGTTCTCTCAACCAGCATCTCCTTAACAAGCTGAGTGCTGACCTTCCACCTCCACTTCCACCTAAATCTCTCTCAAATCCTCCTAATATGTCAGAGTGTATGCGGGAAGAAGGAGCAGGAACTCGTTCCTCATCTACAGAGTTTAATGCTCTGGTGCATTTGCTGGAGATCTCGTGGTGCTGGGGGAATTTATCTGCCAATTATTTCTCAAAAAATAACAAAAGATTATGCAGCACATGGCAGATAAGGGCAGAAAGGGGAGAAGAGAACTGGGTTTTAATTGAATTCCAAGTACGTTGAGCAAAAATTTCAGAACTATCAATTAGGTGTTGGCCTGGGGCTGAAATTTAATTAAGACAATAGTGCTTTTAGGATGTCTCTGTCTGAGGGGCGAAGGGAAAGCATAAAGGGGAACAGTGAACACTGGAAATGTGATGGGGAGGTGGGAAAGATCCTGCTGGAGGTGGTTCAGAGTTAAGCTGCTACTTCTGGGTTTGCAGAGATCTGGGCTGTCTGTGGAACTGCACACCCCATGCCTGGGAAATGCCATAGGTCAGGGTGCAGGTGGGTTTCCGAGCTCAGACAGTAAATCCTCCAGAAGTAGTTGGCTGGAGAGCAGGGAGGGAAAGGGGAGAGGGGAGGTGGGATGCTGCTTGCTGTATGTCTCTGGTTGTTGGGGCTGCCTATGGCATGTATGCACCCAAAGGTGCTCAGGGCCCTGCACCCCAGGGAGCTGCAAGCCACAGTTGGCTGTGAAGATGAAGAAAATTAATTCCTGTGCCTGCTAGGCAGCATGTGGAGTGGCTTAAGGGGAAGAAGCTGTTAGGTTTTGAGGAGACAACTCTCATGCATTGGAAGGAGGACTCATTAGCACAAGAGCCCAGCTTGGCTCTGGGCTATGCAGTAAACTGTTCCTGTTAGCCTCAACCCAGCCCATGTAAGAGCTGACACATCCGAAGGTAAGAGCTGACACATCCAAACCTCAGCCCTGGATTTTGCCCTGTCCAGGGGACCAGCAGCTGCCCCAGGGCTCCCCTTCCTCCTCCTGTGCCTTACCTGTGTGTTACTTGAAGGCACCCTGGTCCTTACTGCCCGGGGTTGTCTGCAGATGCTTTTATCACTGGCTCATTCTGAGCTGCAAAGGAAAAATCTAAGGGAAAAAAAAGATCTGTATTCGAGAAAAGATTGTCACAAGCAAATTGTTTCATTTCCTAGTTTCTTTTGCTAAGTGGAACAATTTTCTCACATTATAGCAAAACCGCTTTCATTTTCTCCAAGAAGCAAATCCCAAATCTCTGTACAGAACTACTGTAGCAACAATAAAGAGGAACTTTGTTCCTAAATTCCCAATATACACAAAGAGCACAAAAATGACATTAATCCCTAAATTCCAAATACACACCATTTCAAATAATTGCAAAAAACAAGGTTCTCTTCTCTCATCCTACAGTTATTTTGGGGGCAAAGTAGATATTTCAATAAATCACACTACAGTATTCGTACACGGAAAGCCACCCTACACCAAAATGAACTGGGTCCCGGGCAGTTCCTGACACACCGGTGGGAGGTGAGGTCTTGTTCTGACTCACTCAGGGAAGTGATTTCCCACAGATGCAGGATGGTTACTTAATGTCTTGTGCTCTTAAAAATATCACGCAGATATTTTCCAAAGTGGATGCAAAATTCTAAGATCTTTTAACACCGTACTTTGGTGAAAACCAGTGTTAACTACTGAGGCTGAATTGGCTGTTTGAAGAATTTTTTACAGTCACTTGAGGGTTACTGGTACTTGACACTTGTTTTATTTGGCAAGAGCCTGAGCATTTGGCTCATGTGTAATCTTTTTCCTTTTACTCCTAGTCCAGAGAGTCTCTTGCAAGTCTGGGGCAAGTGTCCTTGGGCTGGTTTCTTGGACGACGCAGGTTATGAATATCCAGTTTGCTCACAAGATGACAGCAGCAATGAGTATTGTTAATGTCTTACAGTCAGTGAGTCACTTATCACAAAACACTTGATGGACTTTCTCAAATTATTTTCAGGAAAGAAGATAATTGCTTCACCTGCCATTGAAATGCAACTGTAGCTGGGACGGAGAGCAGCGCTGCTGGATGGGACATAGCTACACCACATCGGGGCTTACAGGACAAGGCTATGATAACCAGCTGAAGGAAGTAGAAGAATTTGGACAGAAAAGGTAAAATTATCCCAAAGAAGCTTAGACCACAATGTTGGAAGTATTACTATGACCTTAGGGAACACTGATTATTAGTTTGTTCATTCTTCTTTAACAAATCCAACTGGTCTGGTCCTTGGGTATAAGTACTACCAGCACAGCAATGTTCCCAGAAGTGCTAGGGGAGGTTCATGACACCCAACTTCAGTCATTCCTACCATAGGAGTCTCCACTGGAGAGAGTCCCTTTACAGTCAATGGAAAGAAAGTCACATCTCAGGAGGCATTCATCTTCTTCTGAGGTACGTGTCTTCCTCGGAGGACTATGCTGAGATGAGAGGAGCCACTTTCTTGTAGTGCCTAATTTTCCCCATTAACCCTAAAAGGACTCTAGAGGAGCAGCTCACATTGGGTGTCTGTGGTATAGGCATGTAGATTCAGGCAGGTGAATCTCAGCAGATAAGAAAATTGGCCCAGCAGAACGAAGGTTGTGGGTTTTTTTCCTTGAATACCTTTTTCTTCCCGGATTTCCTTTCAATGTTCTGGCCCAACTCAACAAACAGTTGCACTTGCACATAACACAGAATAGCGTTGCACTGCTATATTTAACAACAGAGTCTTTAAAGATGCTAAACATTAACCTGTACCTAACACTTCACCAAACAAGAATAAATTAGCATTAAGGAAAAGCAAATTAATTTGCCTCTAAGAATCTGTTTTGTTCAATGCCCTGGAGAGGTATTAAATGAAGCTTGCTGCAATGCCAGAGCAATTTCTGTTGGCACTTTCCCAACACAGCGCAGGCAGCCGTGTAGCTCCCACTGCCTGCGCTGTTTCAGGGTCCCAGGATTTATTTGGCAGCCTTGTTCTTCTTTGCAGGCGCAGGGAGGCTGTTCAGATCTTCCTGTTCGGTGACGTTGTGGTCGAAGCTGTGGTGAGAAGAGTCCTTCACCGCGCTGTAGTACACCGGGGCCGTGTACGGCGCGGGGTTCTCAGCGCTCTTCTCTTGGCACTTGCATAACTTCCTAAAGGCAGCCCTGAATTTCTGTGACATGAGGTTGTAGATGATGGGGTTGATGGCGCTGTTCAGGTAGATGCACATGCGGCAGAAGAGGAGGAACCAGATGTTCAGGTACGGAGGGTCCATGAAGGAGTTCACCACCACCAGCGTGCGATAAGGCATCCACAGAAGGGCGAAGAGGACCACCACGACAGCTAGCATTTTGGTCACCTTTCAAGTAGGGATATGCAAAAAGAGAAACAGTTAGGTGATGCTAAATCTCCAGCTGAGCTTTCCCACCTGGAGATACAATGCAGACAACTAATTCAGCCTACATCTTGCTTAGATCTCTCTCTAAGTGGTTAAAATAGACACCCAAACCATGGGGCTATTCCTCTCTGAATCCATTCTGTTCATGAAACAATCTTGCATGAATAAACCCCTTAAATGACAGGTTTTCACCTACTATTTAAAAGCCTTTAAAGCTCCTTAGGGGAAGCATCCACCGGCCTGGAAATGGGCTGGGATAATCATGGGAACTTCTGTACTACAAAGCAAATTAGAACATTTCACATAACAATAAATCAGTGGGGAAGCTAATTCATGCAAAAGTGGGGTCCTAACTTTTGGGGGTGCCATGGGATATATCTCAACTCCCTGCCTAAGATTTTTCTGGTTTCCTACGGCAGCTGTTTTTCCCAGGGATAGGCTCCTGGTACAAAGCAGCGCTGAGAGCAGAGGAGTCTGCCTGGAGTCTTACACAAACTCCTACTTGTGCTGATATGGGAGTTACTTAGCTAATTGGTATGGGTTATTTTAATTTGCAGCACACTGGGGAAGTACTACATTAACATAATAGGAACAAGAAGATATTGAAAATTCAGAAGTGAGCAGTAATTGCCCTCAGCTCGAAGTTCAGAAGTGAGCAGTAATTGCCCTCAGCTCCGCTCAAGCTTGTTTAAGAAAATGGGGTTTTGTACTGAAAATCCAGTGATCCTAATAATTTCAACAGCTATTTCTGGTAGGTGTCAATCATCCTCCAGCAAATACTTACAGAATACACACGTCCCCAAGGAGGAAAGTATGAGTAAACACTGATGCCACACACATATTAAGGCAGTGGCGTTTCAAACGTCAGAAAGGGAGTTGTGCAATGACTCCAGTTCTCAATATGGAAATAAGCACTTAGATCACATTCACAGTCTCTCAAAATTCCTTGGAGCATTTCTTTTTTATTTTTTTTTAACTTAGTCATGAGCAACTATGCCTTCCTGTATTGATTTGAGTAGAAACTGGAGCTGGTTGGTAGTGGCAACAAAACTTTCCCTACGAGAACAGGGCTATTGTCAAGCTGAGGCTAAAATAGAAGCGTTTTGTTGTGTGTGGTTTAATGGGAATGTGAGGACACTTCCCAGAATAACATCTTGCAGTGATATGGTGAGTGCTGGGGCTGTTGCTAAGACTTCAGCATGTTTGCTGCCACTTTGCTGCCTTTTGGGAAAGACATGAGAGGCTGTACGAGATGTGTCAGTAAAAGGTAGCTTCAAAGCTTTTCAGTGCCTTTTTTACAGGGCTGGCTGGATGCAGGAGAGCAAGAGCCATCTCAGAAGCTTTTGGGTTCAAGCCACCCTACCTAGTATGCAAATGCTCTGGTTATAATCTATCAAGACCTGGAAACAGAGAGCTCCTGGTACCAGATCAGCCCAGAAGGGCACAGATTTTGCTTCAACACTGTGTGCTACGTGAGCAGTGCATACGCATGGGACCTGCATTTTCTACTTCTCTATGTATCTTTACAGCAAAAAGACATGACAGAGATGGAGCATTCAGCCACACTGCTGCCTTCCACAGCCTGCTTCTCAGGTTTGCAGAGACAATTGCTTTGGCCGTATTTTTTATGCATCTGAGGTTTATTTCCCAAGAACCTGAAACAAAAACTGTGCTAATCAATGAACACTACAGCAAAATGCAACCAACTCCTCAGCTAAAATGATCCTAAGTACAATTTCTGTCAGAATTTAATTCTGCTCTGCTAAGCAGTTTATTCCTCTTGGGACATGAGGGCAGGCTCTGTGCTTTTCCATCGCATGAAGAGACTGAGTGTATCCCAGTCCTGCCTGGAAGGGTCCATGTTTAAGGGCTGACTTTAAGTGGGTAAGGTTGGGGGAGTCTTTCCATCAACTTCAGGAGTCCCAGGCAGCAGGATTGCTGCAAAATATGTCCCTGGAAAGTGAAATAGTACATCTCTGCAGGTCCTCACTGAGACACAGACACTCCTCACTCCATGGCTGTCCCAGTTCCCAAGGTGCAGTTTCCCACCACAGGACTGGGGAGAATAAATCCCTGAGCTTTTATACACTTAGCCCTGATCTCTGGCAGGGGTCCCTTCCGGCCGGGAGGTTCCTGTGTGGCTGAAATGTCTCCTTTAAAGCTAGCAGATTAATACTGAGATTGAAACATCTTTGGCTTTTTGACTGTTGTAATTCTCTGCCTTGTTTTACTGTTCAGGACCCCACGATGGTTGTGAGCAGTGATCTGAACTCTGCACCCCAGTGACAGCACCAGGGGGAGCATATCCTAATAAGGCTGAAAAGTAAGTTCATTCTGGTCCTTTCTGAGACCAAAAGAAATGTAGTCTGGAAAAGAACCAGTGATTCATCTGCTTTTTAGCCATAACTGCCCCTGCTCTTTGGCTGTTTGTTGTGGAAATGCTGGTGGTGCCAGTCCATCCCAGCAATGTCCCAACGCCTCCCTCCTGACCGCAGGAGACCACATAGGGCTGTCATCCACAGAGCACTGGCTGCTACACGTCCAACAGCCCTGAGAGAGAGCGGTCTTTGTCCTGGGAGGGGAAACGGGCTGGAAGCAGCACCACGAGGATTTATTACCTCCGTCTCACTAAATGCCTCAGTGCTCCCCGAGGACGCTGCCTCCAGACCACAAGCTGGGACAGGCAGCCCTGCCCTGAGCTTGCTGTAAGATTGAAATTTGCCTTTTAAAGCCAACTGTCTGTACAGACTGTGTTCTCCTGAGTGCAACTTTTGCAAAGTTGTGTCGACACAGGATGCACTGAGAAGAGTTTGGGACACTTATCCCAAACTGCACTAGTCCTGAATTATGCCCCCAGAAAACCAGCTGCACCCAAAAAAGCCAGAGCTTTGCTGTAGCCTCAAAGCATCCCTCGGGAAAGCACCAGCTCAGGGACAGCAATTTTTCCAACAAGTGTTTTGCAACAGCTCTGTTGTACGTAGTGTGTGCACACAACAGCTGTAAAGGAGCTATGGATAGAAGCAAGACAAAGGTTTGTAGGCAGGAGGGGATGTTTGACTAGAACTGTTGATATTTAGCTGAAAAACACTTTGGAGGATGTAAGCCAGTGTTGCTGAACAGCCAAGGAAATCTGCTGCAGAGACCCCTGACTACATCCTGGGTCCCTGTGCCAAAGCTAAGGGGCCACTCACCTTCCATCTCCATGGCCAAGCCCGCTGTAACTCCCAGAGCAAACCCACTCCGAGCATCCCTCTTGCTCCATACAAGGCAGTCGGCCTCTTGCATCCCCGCACAGCCCTTCCAACCCATCCCTTGTCTCAGTGCTGTGTCCAGCTTCTGCCCCTGTGCTGGAGGCCACAGAGGCTTCTCCCCAGCCAGTGTCACCCCTCCTTGTCCAGGCACCACCACCCTGAGCTGCAGCATCCTTTTTTGGGAATCCCGCTCCCTCTAGTGGTCCCTCTCTGGCAGGTGAGATATGTTCTTGGAGGTGGCTGGTGTTTCTGTCTGTGGCCCTTTCTTCTGTAGGTGGTACATACAGCAAAACTTACACCTTGAGTTGTCCTGCTCTGAACTTAACATGTTTTAGAACCTTGCGTTGTCCTGCTCTGAACTTAACATGTTTTAGAGGCACCAGTGAGGGAACAGGAACACCTTCACGCTCTGAAAAGCAAGCAGTACAGCGCTGGGGCTGTTGTAGGAGCACACCCATAGCAAAACACCCCCAACCATCTAGGCTCTTTAGAGGCCAGGGAGAAAAATGGGCACTTGTGGGGTAGCCCCTTTTGGACATCTCCCAGGGGACTCAGGGCACAGAGACTGGAAGAGCCAGTTCCTCTATAAAAACAGGACAGAAGAGGAGCACTGATGTGGGTCCCTGGTCAGAGGGACCTTCTTGAGGCCCCAAAGCTCATCTTCCCACTCTGCTCTGCTCTGCTGGTCAACAGATCCTCTGGGAGCCACACCACCCTCTCGTACCACTGGTCCATGATGGGAATCTGGCAGACTGTGCATCATCACCCCAAGAAATTCAAAGGTGTTTGCAGGGTTGGGGTCCCGCTTCGCCACATCACTGACATACAACCTGCTGCCTGCAGGGCCCTGTGAAGCTCTTGCTGCAAGGGGAAGCCTGTCAGACGGCAACACTATTGCTGTTTTGACCAAACTTGCAAGCGTGATTTCTAGTGGTGTCTTTAGTGGTTTAGTTTAGATGGCAATTGCATTTTAAAGAAGCTGCATCCTCTCTTCAGTCTTCTCCGCTGGCAGCACATGCATCACTTTCACAGCCCCCTCATCACCCTGCTGGATTGGACACCACCAGCATTTGTTATTAGAGCAGTTTCTGGTGCTGTGTCCTCACCTCTGACACTCAGGACAAGACCCTTTACCCAGGGTCACCATGGAAATTCCTGGTGACATTTTCAAGGGCTGTCAGCACTTCTCAGGAGATTATGAGAGATCAGTGGCATCACCTGTTAGGCTGCCCTCTCCTTTCCACCCTGGCCACAGGTGATTAATGAGCAAAGAAACCTGCTTATGAGCTCCTCAGCCAGCATCAACTATCACCAAGGAGTGTCCAGTGGTCTGAGGTGAGATCCATATGTGTTTCTTCTTTCCACACGTTTCCTCTGGTTTTAGGGCAGTGATGCCATGGCTAGCAGAAGATCAGAGAGGAAGCCTTTCTTCTGTTGACAATGGCACAGGACACTCATGTCCAGGCTGCTCCCTTTTAGGGCTCGTACCCACTGCATGGAGGTTTTTGCCATTGATTTCCTTGGCAGTGAACCTTGCCTGGAGATGACCTCTTGGGTTCCTTCTGTGCCCCTCCCACACCTTTGCTAAAGCCTAGTTGGGTAGGTGTCCCACAGCCCCAGGTGCTGGGGGTGGGGGGTGGTGGGGCACAGGCCCCCTTGAATCTCCCTTTCCCCTTCGCATGGGCACATGCACCTCTGTCACTGTCACCCACTGACTGTGGGGAATGCTCTCCTCTGCGTCTGCATTTAAGTTCCTTCTCCTATACAGCATCTCCCTCTGCCAGCTCTGCTGGCCTGAATGGATTTAGCTCCTTTCCTTCTCACATTAAAACCCCCTTCTTAATGATCTGCCCATTCCCCAGCTCTCAGCCCCGGCTTCCCCTCTGCTCTACCCCCACTGCCCCTCTGGGCTCCTGCACACTGCAGCATCTCCCAAAAAATGTCATTCCTCTGGCCCTGGCTTCCCCTGCTCAGGGAAAAAAACTGAGGGCAGAATCCAGTGCTGTCCCCTTGGTGTCTCTGGAGGCCTCTTTTCCTCTCCAGGTGGTTGGGTTGTTGGTTTTTCCTTCATAACTACATGCAGAATTATGACTCACTGCAGCTTCTGCTCCTCAATTCATCGCATCACCAGTCAAAGCTCTGGCTGGATTTCAGTGCTAAGGTGGATGCTCTGACAGGCCCTGGATTTGTTATGCTCGAAGCACTCCTATACACACTGCCCAGAACTCTCTCCAAAATAGCTGTGTGGTTTCACTTGGCTTTGGCAAGTGGCACCAAGCATCCAGCAGATCCCCTCAGCAATGAATCAAACGGTTCAAGTAGAACACCCAAATCCTGATTTTTGTCCCCTCTGATTTTTATGGATAGTCACATCAAGTTCCCTCTGATTATACATCAAATGAAGCAATCTTGTCCTATGCCATATCCAACTTGTGAAAGATGTTCATGGAAAAACTTGGACTGCAGCCACCTCTGGGGCGCAGCACGGCATCCATTTGACAGCCACCAACCCGTGTGGCAACCACCCAGCCCACATGCCAGCTGGGGCACAGCTGGAGTTTCTTCCTCCATCACTCTCAAGAGCTTGCTTTGAAGAGCTGCTGGTGTGAAATCAGAAGGAAGCATTCAACAAATCATAGCTGGAAGCCCTGGGAAACTGCTTCACAGTTTAAAAACTCAGTGCCATCTTTATTCCTAATGATGCCAGCTCTGGGATGTCAGGCCAGTCTTTGCATGCTGAGATATTTCAGGAGGTAATGACGATCTCGAGAAAACTCCCGGTGTAACAGAAAAGAGGGCACAGGATGTTTCCAGGAGCTGGAGTGCACATCATCCAGCCCCATCAGGACTAACAGCCGCAGCCACTCATCCTCGTGAGGCTGGAGCATGCTGTGTGCAGCACGGCCACTCCATGGCACAGCCCTGCAGCGGTGGCTCTGGAAGGAGAGGTCCCTTTAGGTACTGCCATGTAGTATCTAGAAGCCTCACTGCCGGACCCCCTGCCCGAGGCTCCCGTAGCAGCCAGCAACCCTGGGAGAGCAGGCAAGTACTTTTGCAGAAGTAAGGACTTGCCTTAAACCTTTCTATGCTGGAGCAAAAAGGAGGAAAAAAGCTGAACTGGAAAGATTTAGAAGTTTGTGAAGATATACACGTTCTCGGGGCTGTTTGCTTCCCCTCTGTGACTGAATTGTCTCTCCTGGGGAATGGAGGTTCCCGTGCAAGTCAGGCAATGAGATACTGAGTTGGGAAAACAAGGAATTTAAGACAGGCTGAAACCTATTTCAGGCTGTCTGGAAATCCGGCCCTGCTCACTCCAAATCACAGCAGAGCTGATGATTTCAGGGACTCAAGACAGATTCCTGTATTTCCTTTCCTTTAAAATAGCCCATGTCTCTGCCTAGGCAAAGTTTGAAACTGGATTAGGATAGCGTCTTGCAAATGGCCAGCAAGCTGGCAGGAGTGTCCCACGTCCAGATGCTGACCTGTCCAAGAAGCTGGGGGCTAGAGACTGTCCATGTGGACAGAGAAAGAGGAGGACCAAGGGCAGGAGGTGTGAAGAGGAGATGGGGAGCAAGCAGGCAGCTGAATGACTGAGGAGTCACTGAGGCAAACACACCACTATGACACTGAGGTACCTTCCCCACCTGCAGGAACCAGGGGGCTGCAGCCAGTGCTGGGCTCACAAGACAGGGGTTCAGACCAGCTCTCCCCTCTCTTTGATCCTCTAAATCTGAGACACCCTGCCTGGAAGGCAAGTCCCACCAGCATAATGTGATCCAGCACTCCCCTCCTCGGGGAGGCAATAAGTAATTAATTATCCAGCAAACACCCCTGCACTCCTGCCTCTCCCAAGTGATCCAGGAGCCCTGTCCTGCTCCGCTGAGTTCAGACCATCTGTGCTTCCAGACCCTAATTGGGCTTGGGGGGAGCTTCGGTGCAGCAAACCAACCTTCTCCACTACCTCCACAAAGGGAAGCAAAACATTGGGGCACTCCACCCCCTGCCAGAATGTCCCCCAAAGCACTGAGCCCCTGACAGTGCTGACTGCAGCCCAGCATGCCCCAGCCCAGCAGGGACCCCCTACCTGCTTGCGGGAGCTCAGGGCCCCCTTGTTGCTCCTGCAGGAGAGCTTGAGGGAGCCACCCTGGTGTGTGGAGCCCAGGCAGGAATGCTGTGGGGTGGCGGGCAGGGGGCTCATGAAGAGGATGCGGGCAATGAGGCCGTAGAGGACAGTTGCCAGCCCCAATGGGATGACGTAGAAGACAGCGAAATCCAAGAAGTAAATGGGCATGTAAAAGCTTCTGGAGACCCGGTAGCCACAGCTGACCTGTGCCCCATCCAAGAAGGTGACCTGGGTCGTGTCCACCAGGAAGAACCACATGAGGCAATAGAGGGAGGTGAAGAGCCAGAGCGAGGAGATGATGCGCTTGGCGCGGGACACGGTGCAGAGGAGCTGGGCTTTGATGGCGTGGCAGATCGCGATGTAACGCTCCACTGTGAAGGCGGTGATGGACCAGGCGGAGATGTTGATGCCCAAGTACTGCAAGTAGGTGATGCAGAGGCAGCCGGCGTAGCCGTAGACCCAAGAAGCCACCACTTCCGAGATGTTGGGCAGCCCGGCCGCCAGCAGGACGATGAGGTCGGCCACCGCCAGGCTCACCAGGTAGCAGTTGGTGGGGGTTACCATGTGCTTGGTGCGCAGCACCACCAGCACCACCATCACGTTGCCAGCGATGCCCACCCCGCAGATGAGCAGCACCAGCAGGATGGTGACCACCTGCAGCTCCAGGGGCTGCCGGGGCATCCTGCCCAGGGTCTGGTTGCCTCCGACGCCTCCTCCCAGCGCGGTTCCCGGGCTGACCGAGCCGTTCTCCATCGGTCCCCAAATCCTCCCCCGGCGGAGCTCCGCGCACCCTGCGGCGGGAGAAGTGGGGGAACCGGCAGCCGGGAGCTTCGCCGCGGAACCCCGCGGCCCCCCGCGCCCCCTCCCCGCCCTCCGCCCGCCCTGGCTCCTCCCTCCCTCTTTTCTCCACGATTCACCCCAAGTCTTGCTGCCGCCCGGCTCCTTGCACCCCCTCACCCCCCCTTCCCACTGCAAATCCCCCGCTGAGCCTCCGCCGGGAGCGGCCAGGACCCCTCCAGCTCCCCGGACCCCCCGGGATTCTCCGGGACCCCCCGGGATGCTCCAGGACCCCCCAACCCGAGCCCCGGATCCCAGGACTCTCCAGGCCCTCCCGCCGCCGCCGGTACCGCCCCCCCTGCAACTACCAGGACCCCCCCAGAATCGCCCGCGACCCCCAGGACTATCCCAGCCCCCGGGACCCCCCGTCCGCCTCCCGCCCGCATCCCCCGCCGGGTCCTAGCGCACCGCTGAGCCCGCGAGGAGGAGGAGGAGGAGGAAGGACCCCAGGCAGGTGGTGGGGGTGGCAAGTTGGAGACCCCAGGACAGAGAGGAGCAGGGGCACCCCAGAAGGGAGCTGGTCCACTCCGGGACCCAGGACTGTGGGTGCCTTGTGTCCCCTGCCGAGTCACAGGCTGCACTGTCCCCCCTGGGCAAGGAGAGCTGAGGATGAGGGCTCCTTCCTTCCTCTTCTCTCAGGAGGATGGGACCAAGGTGATGCCATGGAGACCCATGGCCTTTCCCTTTTCCTTTGGGCTGGGGAAAGGAGCCCCTTGCCTGAGCTCCCCTTCATGTCATCTCTCCTGCAGCCACCCTTGTCCCAAACAGGCACATCAGTGTCATTCTTTTGGGGAAAGGCTCACCAAGTCCTGGACTGGGAGACCCCATATCTCCTCAGCAATGAGGCTAAGATGTCCCCAGTTGTCAGGCTGGAGATCCAGTGTCTCCCTGATGGTCACCAGTAACCAGAATTTGCTGCCAGTTCTGTGCTTGCTCCTGACATCTCCACAATCTGTCACAAAATGCATTTTCAAATTGAAAGAGCAATTGTCATTGTAGAGATAAGGTGCTAACGGGCCCCTCACCTGTGGAGCAGAGGAAAGGACAAGAGGAAAGTTCACTGTTTTATTAGAATAGATTTCAATGAAAGACAGAGCTGCCCCATTAATCCCAAACACTGAGGCACATACCCAAAATGTGAAGGATCGTCCTGATGCTGGATGAGTGAAGCCCAGGGTTTCACAGGCAAATTTCAAAGCCTGGGCTATCCAGGTGGATAAAATGCCTTTTGCCTCACCTCTGTGCCCCGCTCCCAGGAAGCACCAGTCTGCCCAAGCTCTGGCTTACCGTGGCAAATAATATTTTCCTCCTTTCTCTGGGAAACCTTATGCCTCCATTTAGCTCCACAGAGGACAATCCTTGCAGTTTTTCATTCCCTCCCATGACATTTCATTCACCTTTGGGTCAGTTATAAAGGACAACTATTCTCTTCTCTTTCCATTTGCTTTCCTTAGGGCTTTGCTGGCAGCCTGCACCAGGGCCAGCCTGTGCCCCAGCCAGTCTCACCCCTCTGCCCTACAGCCCTGGGCTGGGGACATATGGCAGGTCCTGTCACTGCCCTTGGACACCTACCGAGGCTGCACTTTGCTCTAACTTTCTCCCTTTTTAAAAATAGATGCATTTTAAAATCTCTCTAGATATTACACCTGCTTCATGACACTATTCAGGCTGTGTTAACCTAATGAGCTGTTAGTGACCTCTTCAGGAGCCAGGCAGTGTCCCCTTTAGCCATCCCAACATCCTAAATTCCCCTCCATGTCATCCTGCAGCCTCTCCCCAGGATCCTGCCACCCGAGCATCACGCTCGCAGCCGTTCCAGCGTGTGTTACAGAGAAATACCCATCAACTACCTCCATGTAAGGACCAGTCTGATGGCATCCATCACACACTATTCTGCGAGGCTCAGGGAGCTCTCAGGCAAAAGGCTCTACTACAATTATCTGTAATAATCAGCATCGCTGTCCTCTGGCAAGACCACGGTGTGGTTATTAGGGGTGCAGCATCCTGGTTGCTTTATCCTGTGTCATTAGCAGAACTGTAATACACTATCCCTCTCTGAAGTCCCACCTCAGTCCCACTGTCGCTCCCTTGGTCCTTCTCCACAATTTAAAAATATCCTATTCCCGCATATTCCTCACTGTGGTCGACACATGGTTATTTCAACAGATGGGAACCTGTCAGCACCAGCAGCTCCCTGTGCTGCGCTGGCCGTGATGGACACTGCTGGGAAACACCCAGATCTGAGCATCGTGGTGGTCAGAAACCAGCCTCTGCTGCTGCGCTTGGAGTTAGTTGCAAAGCAGCACATATCAGGAGGTAAATGAGTAACGATAACATTTAATCTTATTGCACGTGTTTGTGGGAAGGAGGGGAAGTGTGGGCGTGTGTGTTTGCTCACAAGTACGGATGTATTTGTGTTCAAGGGTTTGCGTACTCTGCGGCTCTGGAGTGACTCTAACACAGACAGGCTTCCAGCGGGTCGTGAGACCACTGCTGTGTCGTGGTGATGCTGGGGAGCCTTGGGATGCAGACTGTGGCAGCCTCAGAAACACAGTTGTTAGTGCCTGCTTTTCATGAGCTCATGGGAAACAATATTTATTTCAAATGGGGGGAAAACCCAGTGGGGAGAGCTGCCAGCCTGGTGGCACTGCGTGTGGGAGGGGAGAAGGCACAAACCCTGCTCAAACGTCCTGAGGGGGAAGTCAGGGTTCATCCACTTCCTCAAACACATGCCAGGAATTGGTTTTGTGGGAGCAGGAAGCAAGAATAAAACAAACTCCCACAGAGACCAAAGAAGTTTTTTGGTTTGGTTTGATCCTGGAACAGTGTGTAGGATCGTTACAGATAATTATTTCCCTCAACGCTTTTCTTTGTGGCACTGACAATTCGGCAGTTATTAGCACAGCAATAACAACAGCCTTACATCATCCAGCTGAAGCAGCTCCTCCCGCCTGAGCCCCTGAGCTCATCTCGGTGCCCATCACAAGGCTGGGGCTGAGGGTGCTGATCTATGCCCAGTGCACACACCTGGGTGAGATTTCCCATGCATTGTCAAAATAGTAATGTTTGCTCTGAAGACTGATTAAGATTTCCCATTATAGGCTCCTTCAGTAGCCTTCAGTCCTATAACATTCAGGACACGACTGAGGAGTGTCAGATGATGCCAACCAGCTGAGAGTAAAGATTTCTCAAGCTAACTTTTTTGACGCTTATATAAAATATTTTCTTCCATCTTGACTTAAATCCAAATATTTTGGTGGCCAAAGATATCGATTCTTTTAACTAACATTTGATGTTAAGTTCTTTTAACATACTTCTGTATTTCCTTCTCTGCTGGCATTGCCTCAAGCTGCCACCCCCTGTGAATATTTGCCATCACCCACTGCCTGAAATGCCAGGAAGGAGAGGTCTTCAGCCTGCCCAGGGAGGTGGTGGAATCACCATCCCTGGAGGTATTTACGACACCTGTAGACATGGCTCGGCAGGGCATACTCTAGTGCCCGAGATTATTGGTTTGTGGTGGGGTGTTGTGTGTGGGGTTGTGGTTGTGGGGTTTAGTTGGTGGGTGGTGTTTTTGGGTTTGTTGGTGGGGGTTTTTTTGTGTGTTTTTTTATGTGGTTGGACTCGATGATCTCAGAGGTCCCTTCCAACCACTAAGATTCTGTGATTCTGTGATTCATTTCCCTGGGGGTTCCATTCCCTGGGGGGGTGGCTGTGCAGCCTGTGGCTGGGACAATAGCACTGTGCTCGGGCTGGGTGCTTGGGATGTTCAGCACCAGGTTCAGCATCTCCCCGTTCTCCTCATGCAGCTCATCCCTCTCTCTCAGTCTCACCAGGCAGCTCATTTAGTCCCATGGACAGAAAAGACCTCTGAGGCTTCGCATATTTAATAAACAATGCTGGGAGAAAGCAATCCTCTTACCCAAATCTGTGATAAACACCTTGCCATTCTCTGGTGCTTCATAACATACAAATATTAAACCCATAAAACTTCTGCTGTTAGAGCTGGGACACAGAGGCTGCATCCGCACGGTGCCGGTGAACGTGGAGACGCTGAATCACGAGAGGCCACGAGTGGCTTTGCTTGGAGCTGGGTTACAGGATTTTGGGCCCTGGGGAACTGCTGAATTGTGAGAGATCATGGGAAAGTGATTTCATCCCCCCCCCCTCATCTGTGCAGCTCATCTTGGAGCGGGCAGGAAGGTGCTCGGTGGCTCTGCAGGGCAACCTGAGGGCTGACAACTGCTATTAGAGACAGGGATGAGTCAGTCTGCTAAATGCAACAGTTATTGCTCGCTCAGAAAGGCAAAGGAGGGAGATGTTCTGTCAAAATTGCCTTCACCTGTTCCAGGGTCACAGCCAAGAAGCAAATCACTTTGGGGCTTTATGGGTTAATGCCCTCAGAGCTCAAACCCAAGCAAAGAGGCAGCTGTCAAGGAATTAAGAAGATGTAAAATCAACCTGGACACACGCTACACACTCAAAGATGAACTATCTGGTGGCTTTCTAATGATTCTTGTGAGCAGGGAACCATCCCTGGCGGGATGCAGCTCCTGAAGAGCTCCACGGGGACCAGCTCATGGACCTGGGGTTCTTCACATCTGTGCCAGGGGTGTGGAAGGGAACAGCATATGGTCACTATGGAAAACCTCGTGGACGAAAAGGCAGCTGAGGGAATGGAAAAAGATTAAGAGGAAGGCAGTGATACAGAATTTCTGTGAATGAAAAACTAATTCAGGCTTGAAAACAACAAAGAATATCTTTAGATTCTTAGATCCAGGAATGGGACAGGCAGCACCTCCCAGGGGAGGGCAGGAGGTGCCTGGTGGATGGATGGATGAGAAAACCTGCCTGGTGGTGCCAGGCTTAAGGAGCTCCTTCCATTGTAGCACCAAGCTCAGGGCAACTCTGTCATG